TCATGAACCCAGTAAAGTCACTGTGACTCCATGCCTTGAGTACCCCAGTAAAAGTCACTGTGACTCCATGCCTTGAGTACCCCAGTAAAAGTCAGTGACTCCATGTCTTCATGAACCCAGTAAAGTCACTGTGACTCCATGCCTTGAGTACCCCAGTAAAAGTCACTGTGACTCCATGCCTTGAGTACCCAAGTAAAATTCACTGTGACTCTGTCTTCATGAAGCCAGTAAAAGTCACTGTGACGCCATGCCTTGAGTACCCCAGTAAAAGTCACTGTGACTCCATGCCTTGAGTACCCCAGTAAAAGTCACTGTGACTCCATGCCTTGAGTACCCCAGTAAAAGTCACTGTGACTCCATGTCTTCATGAACCCAGTAAAGTCACTGTGACTCCATGCCTTGAGTACCCCAGTAAAAGTCACTGTGACTCCATGCCTTGAGTACCCCAGTAAAAGTCACTGTGACTCCATGCCTTGAGTACCCCAGTAAAAGTTAATGTGACTCCATGCCTTGAGTACCCAAGTAAAATTCACTGTGACTCTGTCTTTATGAAGCCAGTAAAAGTCACTGTGACTCCATGTCTTCATGAACCCAGTAAAGTCACTGTGACTCCATGCCTTGAGTACCCCAGTAAAAGTCACTGTGACTCCATGCCTTGAGTACCCCAGTAAAAGTCACTGTGACTCCATGCCTTGAGTACCCCAAGTAAAAGTCACTGTGACTCCATGTCTTCAGTACCCCAGTAAAAGTCACTGTGACTGTTTTCATGAACCCAGTAAAAGTCACTGTGACTCCATGCCTTGAGTACCCCAGTAAAAGTCACTGTGACTCCATGTCTTGAGTACCCCCAGTAAAAGTCACTGTGACTCCATGCCTTGAGTACCTCAGTAAAAGTCACTGTGACTCCATGCCTTGAGTACCCCAGTAAAAGTCACTGTGACTCCATGCCTTGAGTACCCCAGTAAAAGTCACTGTGACTCCATGCCTTGAGTACCCCAGTAAAAGTTACTGTGACTCCATGCCTTGAGTACCCCAGTAAAAGTCACTGTGACTGCATGTCGAAGTGGTTCCTGTAGACAGTAACAATATTCTAATTATATTTTTGGTGTACCAAATTAGATATGTAAGAAAAAACAACACACTGCATTGAGGAAAGTTCTCGACAGCAACCAACCTCAACAAGAAGGAGGAACAAGGCCATGGCTTGTAAACAGCTCGACAGACAGTGGAAATTTTTGGCTGGTATACAATATACAACATCACCTTAGAGTTAGAGCACATCTGTGGGATCCACAGTACCATAGCCAATTGCACTGTCATGCAGTCATGTAGATAGATCTTTTATCAGATTGCCACAGAACTGTACAATCTATGACCAGAACCATCCATCAATCTCTTTTTCTCACTGCTGTACACCTGTGTTTCTGACACACACCCCTGCCAGGTAGCACTGGCATGGATCACAATGTCCATCAGCTGGTGAAGGAAATATGTTCCCCCCTTTCAAATCAAACAACACGCAATTACACTGATAATGCTGCTCTATCCAAATCAATGGCGGACACCACTCCCGTCACTGCTGATAGACCACCCAATCAGTAGACTGCCCGATGTTTCAGGACTACTGTCAGTTCCCAAGCCGAACATGTTTTGTCATGAGAGGAACATGTTTTTGTCATGAGAGGAACATGTTTTTGTCATGAGAGGAACATGTTTTTGTCATGAGAGGAACATGTTTTTGTCATGAGAGGAACATGTTTTTGTCATGAGAGGAACATGTTTTTGTCATGAGAGGAACATGTTTTTGTCATGAGAGGAACATGTTTTTGTCATGAGAGGAACATGTTTTTGTCATGAGAGGAACATGTTTTTGTCATGAGAGGAACATGTTTTTGTCATGAGAGGAACATGTTTTTGTCATGAGAGGAACATGTTTTTGTCATGAGAGGAACATGTTTTTGTCATGAGAGGAACATGTTTTTGTCATGAGAGGAACATGTTTTTGTCATGAGAGGAACATGTTTTTGTCATGAGAGGAACATGTTTTTGTCATGAGAGGAACATGTTTTTGTCATGAGAGGAACATGTTTTTGTCATGAGAGGAACATGTTTTTGTCATGAGAGGAACATGTTTTTGTCATGAGAGGAACATGTTTTTGTCATGAGAGGAACATGTTTTTGTCATGAGAGGAACATGTTTTTGTCATGAGAGGAACATGTTTTTGTCATGAGAGCATGCATACAGAATATGCTCATGAGCTTTATCAGGACTAGTAAAAACTATGCTCCACTCCCTTCGAGATTGCACTCTTGTTGTTTACAACACCAAACACAAACATGTCTATGTCAGTGTCAGTAACTTAAGTAAGCTCCATCCATGGTAAGAAACATAATATCAACACAGTGTTGGGTAGGAACATTGCCAAAGACGACTCCATTAAAACACTGCACAAGGAGTTGTTACGCACGTGCACTGTGGCACTGCCAAGGCTGGTTACAACAACATGTTGGTTATTGTCATTAGTTTCTTTAGCAGGCGCCCTATGAACATGCACTTTGGCACTACTTTAAGCATGCACAGGCACCCAGCAGTACAAAGTCTTAGAACTTCACTGGTCATACAGATACATGCGCTGGAATATGGGTACTGAAAGTAGTACAACACATTCATTTCTCATTACCTCTCTCAAGACATCACCGGTTATACATTTGCATATATGATGGGGTCTTTCTTCACCTTACAGAAACCTATCTCTCAGGTAAGTGTCACTGCATATGCAGGTATCCCTTAAAATACAGGGGTTGGGTGGAGTCAGTGTTAACTATATATGCAGGTATCTCTGTAGGGGGCACATGTCTTTACTAATTATGCAGTGGTGCTTGTATTTACTATATACTATATGGGATAATGAGGTGCCTGTCTTTACTGTATATGCAGGTATCTCTAGGGGGGAGGCACCTGTATTCACTACATATGCATGTGTCTAAGGGGTGGGTGGTGTCGCTACATTTTACTACATATGCAGGTATCTCTGGGAATATAAGCGTTTCAATCGGTACTTTTGTAACAAAGTATAAATTGGGTTTATCTAACCCTATTGACAATGACTCGCAACTCAGTGATTGGTCACTCTGAACAAAGACATTTCCTTTGTGATAATCAACCGCCATCAATGCCGTGTGTTCAAAATAATGAATTACGTAATGCTGCTTACCAAGTTAATGTTAATTAAGGAATGTGTAACCAAGACTGTGAATAACATTACGTTGCCAGATGACTCGGATTTCATATTACGATAGGATAGACGTCATCACCGCCAGAGACATCGCAGTTATGCTGAAGTTGTCGCCAAAGGCCTAAACGAACCAACTGATGCTAATAAACCCGATTTGATTTATAAAGCTGGATGAAAACCACGGGGTATCAGTGCTGACTCTCGGACTCACACTCGCTATCGTCCAGAACCCAGCGCACGTATTGTTGTTATTGGAACTCGCAACAGTTATGGTCATATGACTGTAGTACAGAAACGAATGAGTGTGTTTATTTCCAGACTGGGTCCTGAAAGCACCACTGAAATGATTGTAAATTATATTGCCAATAATATGAACATTATAAATGTGGTCCGCATAAGTTTGATACTTATGCCTTGTTGCCATCTGCACCCAACTTTTAGCCAATTATGAACGCAAGTGCTTGGTCCGAAGGGTTTTAGTACGCAAGTATTAACCGCGTTGTAAATAACTGTCTTATGTCTGATTTTAAAATTGTGACTTATAACTGTATATTATTATTGAAACTCTGGATAATCAATTTGCTTTGAAGAAGAAACACTCGATTGATTTGTATATTCTTTTTCTAAAAGACATTATTTGTATGGTTATTTATTGCAGTACTGGAATAACTTGATTTTTTTTAATTTTCTTGCATAAACTTAATGAATGTATTTTATTATAACTCTATATCTTTTTCTATTATTGTTTTGTAATTATTCTATATAGACTTTGCCTGAAATAAATATAAAAAAAATTATCCCATGATCTGTGCACATATTTATTTACATACTTTTCAAATTGTAACGTTTATGAGAATAAGATAACAATAAAACAAAACATCAAATTATTGCATCCAAATTATCAAATTTGTGTTTGACGAAAAACAGTCACGCGTATAATAAAAATTAAAACAATTGGGCTTACGATCTTTTAGGTACGACGAAAATACTTATAAAAAGATGATACAAAAATTACATTGTCATGAAAGAAACACATTAACAATTACTTAAAGTGTATATTCTTGACTGGTAGACATGAAAACAATTACAGTTGTAAATTAATATGTATTGTACTGGTACACAAACAAATTCCTGCTTGACTTTCTGAACAATGTCTCAAAAACCCTATCAATGATTTCAATGGAATTCGGGCAATGCTTTCTATGCGATAATGATCTTTTTGTTTCATACATATTAATTATTCAAATGTGCTATGACTATATTTATTCTCCAGAATCAGAGTTGTCTTTCAATTCCAACCCCTCAGCGTTATCGTAGACGACAAATCCCTTGTTTGCTGTTCCATTTTCTTCATTTCCACTTTGTGTAGGATATATTTCTGAATAATCATTATTTTGTTTGTACATCTGAGATTGAACTGCATTTCCATCTTCACTCCCAGCAATGTCACTCAATTTGTGTGAATTACCTGAAAAAGAATATTAGATGAGTTTATTAAGAAGATACTATAACACAACTATGCACAATACTACAATGGAAATACGACAACTATGCACAGTAATATGCAGATATCTGTCCATCACTGCAAATATTATAGCATGCTGCAACATTTGAAGCTACATAATAAGTTCATATTT